AAAATGGCATACGACATGTGCGATCACCACCGTTTCATCCACAATCAAATGGCCAAGTGGAAAGATTTGTAGACACTTTCAAACGCGCACTCCAAAAACTCAAGGGGGAGGGGACCACACAGGAAATCATCGAGACACTTCTGCTGAGTTACAGGGCGACACCAAATGTTAACGCTCCACATGGTAAGTCCCCGGCGGAAGTACTTATGAACCGGAAGGTCCGCTTACCCGTTGACGTCATCCGTCCAACACCACATTCGCCAACCGGTAGAAACATAAATATGGAAGTTCAGTTCAACCGACATCACGGTGCTGCAAAGAACATATTTATACCCGGCCAATCTGTGCTAGCGAAAGACTATCGTGGTGGCGCGGAAAAGTGGACACAAGGCATAATTGTGCGCCGCGCCGGAAGAGTTGTCTATGAGGCAAATGTAGGCTCCTCTATCTGGGTCCGTCATGCCAATCAGCTACGCGCTTCCTATCTTCCAGCGGAACCTACACTCGACCCTGTTCTTCCACTGGAGATTCTTCTGGACACATTTGGGTTAGCTCAAACGCCAAAATCTCCAGAGCCGATGAATGAACCAGAAACTTCCAAACGTTGCGCACCTAGAAGATGGACCAATCGAATACGAAGGTCCGTCATACCAATGCAACTGGACCCTCAGCAGCAGTCCTACGATCAAGCACTTCAAACAGGAGGTGTTAGGAGGACTACCTCCAAACGAACAAATCCAATTCACTAACGATTTGTCTTGTATACTGAAACTTTCTTTCTATATTTCAGCCCCTCACTGACATCCTATTGAACTGTTAGCTTTTTTTATATTCTGGTTCAGTTGAATTCCATACCACGGAACGATCCACTTGTTTGCAGTATAACTTCATCGAGGTTGTTTGTCTTCTCCATTCCGGTGATCTAACGTGTCTGACTGATATAGCAACAAAAGGGATATAACAATGTGGTAGACCATAAACACGAAATGTGAACAATCGCCCTCCTGACCTGGCGCAGTCATTCTGATGAGTCCACACCAAAGGGGGAAGCACTGGAGTCGAGTTTTGCTCTAATTAGAGCCCACCGGCAGTGCCGGGGATTGGAATCCGCATGTCTAACATGCGTAGCGAGCGCGTTGCCACTACTCCACAAGTGTACGCTGGACTCATCCGAACTTTTACGTCTGAATAGGTGAGCCAAAGACTTTGACTGAGGACCCCAATCGTCCTCCTATCTAGGTCAGAGCTTCCTGGCAGTATCCCAGCCCACGTACAACCAGGAATCGGTCAGGAGCAGCGAAGCATCAGCGTTGAACACTGGTGTTATACTGTCGATTATGGTGATGATATTGGATGCCAGTTTGTTAGTCTTCGAAAGTGCGTTTGCATGAAGACATCAATGAAGGACACAGTCGAACCCTCCAAAATACATCTAACTGCGAAGCAAATTCCCTAGGAGTGGGGTTGCCCCACGTACAGACGCCTAAGGCTGATTCCATATCCATGAAAAACACTAGTCGATCAAGATACCTCAACGGTCAACAGAAGGATCTGCCAACCAACGTTCAAACCGAATCATGAATTCCTGGTTGATCACTCCTTAGGGCAGCAGGATCTCATTCTTTGTGATTCCTTCGAGTTGCACAGCGGCTACCTACCGAAAATGCGCCAAAGTCGAACGATTCTTTACCGGTTTAAAGTAATCACAGTACAATGGGATGACAAAGTGAGGGACGCGACAGAAAATAAAATTAGTCAGAATAGAATGGTGACTTGGGAAACTTCCTGAGGAGAGCATCCTCACCTGCCTTTGAAAAATTCATTCACGATCCTGTCACCCAATGGATTGATGGCCAATTCCGGAATAAGCAGGAAGTCGTGACGCCTGTAGGAAAGAGAATGAAGAATAGTGGATAAATTCAAAAACGGCTGAAAAATAAGTGGGATCCTACGAAACGACAACGGTAAGTGTAGCCAACAATAATCCATCTCTTAACATAAGCAAGTGAGGGATATGTTGCAGCAGTTTTATGGTCAACCAATTTTCTTATCCAACCCATTGACTGGAGGTTAAATACGTGACTCTGTGTCTAATGAAACATCTAGCCGGATCCTGATCAATACGCTCGTAGCGTAGCTAGGCGGGTGGTCATTTGACATCGAGGGGAAGCGATACAATCACACATCGTTTCAAACGCCAAAATATATTATCATAAGCACGCTGCACAAAGAGTATCATTGGCAATGCTTTACATCTGCTTGCTCGCTGTGCAACTGAAAGACACACGCATCCGGTCTACCACTACGGAATCTATTGAACTTAGCGCTGCATTTGATCCCGTACATCAAGCGGTACTGTTGATGGGTGGTCTTTAGGCATAAGTGCTCCCAAAATCAAGTCATTTTGGACTAAGCCATTGACTGACGAGAGGCAATGGCGTTAGCCGCCAGTCACGGTTTGGTGCAAAACGCCGCATATAAGATCGTTCAGTTGTGGCACCTTTTCGGTATCTAACCGTCCATAGGCACGAGGGCTAGGATACTGCCTGGTTGTCCAAGCCTAGACAGGAAGAACCGAGATGCAGAGGTCAGGTTCGAACCACGGACCTTCCAGTCAGTGAATTTGCAACCTAACCACTGAGCCATCTCACCACAAAGCACCAAGACCAGAATACAGACCAAAAGGGATAAGAAACTCCAAAACGTAATGCCCCCCACTGAGGGGATTACTGTGAACTTATGCATGCATTGTGTATACTGTACATATTTTATGTATGAATATATGGGAAAGCAGGATCAACGTGAGAACACATGGAGACCCCATGCTTGTACACACTGCTACAATCGGCTCCGCGAAGGTGATGGTCCCTTGGATGGAGCTCTGCAACCTTGTTGAAAACATATCCGCTATTGGGTCAAACTACACTGCTGATTTCGACCTGGAGCTACATAATAACCTAGCAGGTGTGAAATATCTTGGCATCTGGCTCTTAGGCACTAATGGAGTCAAATAAGGTGAACTGTCTCCTAATCGTGCAACCAGGAGCACGAGTCATCATTTATGGGAGGGCTTTATCATCAATGATAGCAATACACCAGTAATATAATACTGGTGTTTTAGTCTTTGTATGATTCCGTGATTTAGTAGATTTGATACCAAACTGGTTTGCAGTGATGAAAAAACGATCGCTTTGTATTACTCAGTCGCTGCAAAGCAGTGTTGTCCTATTGTCTTCTATGAGCTCGGGTGCAGGCGCGAAATCACTAGCCGGAAGGTCCGATGTTCGAACCCAGCCTCTGTACATCGACTGCTCCTGCGTAGATTTGGTCGATTTCCGTTGCTCCATATGCTTTATATCCAACCGCTTAGAAAGAAAGGCCAAGTACTGCACTCAACTAGCAGAGTCAGATTCCGGCGTCCGGACATCTGGAGTACTAGGGACGCCAGTCTGCTGGTACGTTTAAAGAATGTAGGTAAGGAAAGCTCCCCCTTCCGTAAGGATGGGGTTTAACTATGAGCAAGCCACGTATGGTGAATAAAACGCATCAAAGAGACGGTGGTGGTTCTAAAAGGTTACGGTGCATTCCACCCTAGTTACCTAGTTCTCACAGCAACGTGACTTATCTTTCAGACAAGTTGACCGAACCCGGTAAGTTTCGGGGATATAAGTAGGAACAGGTCCGTAGCGTTGGGTACATCACACGAAAGACTGAAACTTGCATTTGTTGGCTACAGGGGAATAAGCAGGTCGGACGACCGTGGAAGTGTTACGGGGAACTAGAGTTCACCGGAGCAGTTGCCCTGATAGCAGTCATAAAGCAGCGACTGGGGGCAGCGTGCCATTTTTGAGGAAGGGATTGCAGGTCATCAATCAAAGAATTCGCATCCACAGGGGATCCAACAATTGGGGTGAGTCTCTCACTAACACTAACACTATCTCTACATAAATTTGCCACCGCGATGTGGTGGTCAGCCACGTGGGCCGTAAACGTTCTGCGGGGTAAACTATCTGCGACCTTGTTCCACAAGATGTAACCAAGCCAGGAAGGCCAGAGTTGCATCATCATCATCAATCAGCCACGTAGTAAACGTTCTGCGGGGTAAACTATCTGCGACCTTGTTCCACAAGATGTAACCAAGCCAGGAAGGCCAGAGTTGCATCAATCATCTCAATCATCAATGATCATCATCATCATCATCATCATCATCATCATCATCAATCAATCAACCATCAATCAATCATCAATCATCAATCATCAATCAATCAATCATCAATCATCAATCATCATCATCATCATCATCATCATCATCATCACCATCGTCGACAGCATGACATCAGTGTTCAACACCGATGCTTCACTGCCGTACAACCATGACTTATTTGAAAGCCTTATTATAAAGAAAAGAATAAAGGTGGACGGGGAAGGGACTTAGTGCTAGCTT